CAAAATTACGGGAATTCACCCAAAAAAACCCCCCAAAATTCCGGAAATTCACCCCAAAAAAAAAAACAAAATTCCGGAAATTCACCCCAAAAAAATCCCCCCGAATAATCCCAAAATCGTGGGAATTTACCCCCAAAAAAAATCCAACCGGGAAAATCACAAAATTACGGGAATTTACCCCCAAAAAATCCCCAAAATCCCATAAATTCACCTCAAAATTACGGGAATTCACCCCAAAAATCCCGCCCGAATAATCCCAGAATCGTGGGAAATCAACCCAAAAAAATCCAGCCTGAAAATGCCAAATTCCCAGAAATTCACCCCAAAATATTCACCCTAAAAATCCAAAAATTCCGGGAATTTACCCCCAAAAAATCCCCAAAATCCCATAAATTCACCCCAAAATATTCACCCTAAAAAATCCCAAAATTCCGGGAATTTACCCCCATAAATCACCTGAAAAATCCTAAAATCTCAGAAATTCATCCCAAAAAAATCCATCTTAAAAATCTCAAATTCCCAGAAATTCACCCCAAAATATCCACCCTAAAAAATCCCAAAATCGTGGGAAATCAACCCAAAAAAAAAATCCAGCAGGGAAATCCCAAAATTCTGTGAATTTACCCCAAAAAATTCCCCAAAATTCCGGGAATTCACCCCAAAATATTCACCCTGAAAATCCCCAAATCCTGGAAAATCAACCCAAAAAATTCACCCCAAAAAATCCCCAAATCCTGATAATTCACCCCAAAAAATCCACCGTAAAAATCCCCAAAATCCCAGAAATTCGCTTCAAAATATTCACCCTGAAAATCCAAAAATTCTGGGAATTTACCCCAAAAAAATCCACCCTGAAAATCCCCAAATCCTGGAAAATCAACCAAAAAAATCCCCAAAATCCTGGAAAATCCACCCAAAAATATAAATTTTTAAAATCCCCAAATCCTGAAAATTTATCCCAAAAAAATCCACCCTGAAAATCCCCAAATCCTGGAAAATCAACCCAAAAATACCAATTTGTAAAATCCCCAAATCTCAGAGAATCAGCCCAAAAAAAATCAACTTGAAAAATCCCTAAAATCCCAGAAATTCACCCTGAAAAAATCAACTTTAAAAACCCCCAAATTCCCAGAAATTCACCCCAAAAAATCCACCCTGAAAATCCTCAAATCCTGGGAAATCAACTCAAAAAAATCCACCCCAAAAAATCCCCCAAATCCTGAAAATTCACCTCAAACTATTCACCCTTAAAATCCAAAAATTCTGGGAATTTACCCCAAAAAATCCACCCTAAAAATCCCCAAATCCTGGAAAATCAACCCCAAAAATGTAGCCCATACTGGTTTATACTGGTTTATACTGGTCCATACTGGTTTATACTGGTCCATACTGGTTTATACTGGTCTGTACTGGTTTATACTGGTCCATACTGGTCCATACTGGTCTATACTGGTTCATACTGGTCCGTACGGGTCCATACTGGTTTATACTGGTCCGTACTGGTCCATACTGGTTTATACCAGTTTATACCGGTTTATACCGGTTTATACTGGTCCGTACTGGTCCATACTGGTTTATACCGGTTTATACTGGTTTATACTGGTCCGTACTGGTCCATACTGGTTTATACCGGTTTATACCGGTTTATACTGGTTTATACTGGTCTGTACTGGTCCATACCGGTCCATACTGGTTTATACCGGTTTATACTGGTCTGTACTGGTCCATACCGGTCCATACTGGTTTATACCGGTTTATACCGGTTTATACTGGTTTATACTGGTCTGTACTGGTCCATACTGGTCCATACTGGTTTATACTGGTCTATACTGGTCCGTTCTGGTCCCAGGCCCTGCGCCGGCGCGGTGGGCGGAGCCTCTCCGGGTATTTCCTGGCTGGACGCAGCATGAGCTGGGCCCCGGTGAGTTTTATACTGGTTTATACTGGTTTGTACTGGTTTATACTGGTTTAGAATGATTTCTATTCGTTTAAGGCACTTATCCAATATGGCGCCCAAAATGGCTGCCTCCATTGGGGTTTTCAAGATGGCTGCCCAAGATGGCTCCCCACTATGGCCACCCATTGGTGCATACTCGTTTTACTGGTTTATACTGGTTTATACTGGTTTATACTGGTTTAGAATGATTTCTATTCATTTAAGGCACTTATCCAATATGGCGCCCAAAATGGCTGCCACCATTGGAGTTTATAAAATGGCTGCCACAGAATGAATCTAAGATGGCTCCCCACTGCGGCCAGCCATTGGTTTATAGTGGTTTATATTGGTTTGTACTGGTTTATACTGGTTTAGACTGGTTTGGACTGGGAATGGAGGGATCACCTTGGGGTCACTCAGGGTCACTCATTGGTCACTCACTGGTCACTCAGGGTCACTCAGGGTCACTCAGGGTCACTCAGGGTCACCCATTGGTCACTCAGGGTCACTCAGTGGTCACTCATTGGTCACTCATTGGTCACCCATTGGTCACTCATTGGTCACTCATTGGTCACTCATTGGTCACTCAGGGTCACTCAGGGGTCACTCAGGGTCACTCATTGGTCACTCATTGGTCACTCACGGTCACTCACTGGTCACTCATTGGTCACTCAGGGTCACTCAGGGGTCACTCAGGGTCACTCATTGGTCACTCAGGTCACTCAGGGTCACTCAGGGTCACTCATTGGTCACTCAGGTCACTCAGTGGTCGCTCATTGGTCACTCATTGGTCACTCAGGTCACTCAGTGGTCGCTCATTGGTCACTCATTGGTCACTCACGGTCACTCACTGGTCACTCATGGTCACTCAGGGTCACTCAGAGTCACTCTGGTCACCCATTGGTCACTCATTGGTCACCCATTGGTCACCCATTGGTCACTCATTGATCACTCATTGGTCACTCAGGGTCACTCAGGTCACCCATTGGTCACTCTGGTCACCCATTGGTCACTCATTGGTCACTCAGGTCACTCTGGTCACTCAGGGTCACTCAGGTCACCCATTGGTCACTCTGTGGTCACCCATTGGTCACCCATTGGTCACTCTGTGGTCACTCAGGGTCACTCTGGTCACTCAGGGTCACTCAGGTCACCCATTGGTCACTCTGTGGTCACCCATTGGTCACCCATTGGTCACTCTGTGGTCACTCCCCAGGTGGGCGCCTCCCTCTTCGCCAGCAACATCGGCTCCGGCCACTTCGTGGGGCTGGCGGGGACGGGCGCGGCGGGCGGCATCGCCGTGGGCGGCTTCGAGTGGAGCGTGAGTGGCCACGTATCGCGAGAGCGCCGCCAGATATCGCGAGAGCGCTGCAAACATCGCGAGAGCGCCGCCAGACATCGCGAGAGCGCCGCCAGACATCGCGAGAGCGCCGCGCGAAATGCCGCGAAATGCGGCGCGCCGCCAGACATCGCGAGAGCGCTGCAAACATCGCGAGAGCGCCGCCAGATATCGCGATAGCGCCGCAAACATCGCGAGAGCGCCGCGCGAAATGCCGCGCAATGCGGCGCGCCGCCAGATATCGCGAGAGCGCCGCCAAATATCGCGAGAGCGCCGCGCGAAATGCCGCGCAATGCCGCGCGCCGCCAGATATCGCGAGAGCGCCGCCAGATATCGCGAGAGCCCCGCGCGAAATGCCGCGAAATGCGGCGCGCCGCCGCCAGATATCGCGATACCGCCGCCAAACATCGCGATGGCGCCGCGATTTTGGGGTCATTTCGGGACATTTTGGGTCATTTTTGGGCCATTTCGGGACCAATTTTGGGCCACTTTTGAGTCCATTTTGGGACCTTTTTTTTT